GTCTGGGGCTGGAGGAACTCCTTGAGAGTCCCATGGGACTGCAAGAAGATCAAACCTCTCCATTCTGAAAGAAATCACCGCTGAGTGCTCACTGGAAGGGACAGGATGCCTTGAAGCTTGAAGGCTCCAATACTTGGCTCACTCATGAGAATAAGAAGACTCCCTGGAAAAGACCCTGATGTGGGAAAGATGGAGGGGCACAAGGAGAAGGAGACGACAGATGGACGATGCATGGTGCGGGACAGTGTCTCTCGAAGCTACTAACATGAGTTTGACCAAACTGCAGGAGGCACTGGAAGACAGGAGGGCCTGGCGTGCTCTGGTCCAGGGGGTCACGAAGAGGCAGACACGACCAAATGACTAAACAACAACAAGAGATGGAAGGCCCCCTGAGGGTCATGTAGCCCAACCCCCTGCCAGGCAGGAATCTTTTGCCCAATGAGGCTTGAACCTACAACCCTGAAATTATGGGTGCCTTCCAACTCTACAGCAGTTTATTTTATATTGGATACAATTTTAAAAGAACTGGGGTTCAGGGGGCACCAGCTCTCGTCTCTTGGCTGCTCGCCTCCCATCCTGCTCTGCTCACCTCCAGGAGTCGCTGCTGCATATACCGGCTGAAGAAGTGGAGAATCCCCATTTTCATGGTCAGCGAAGGCGGCACGTCTCTCCGCAGGAAGGATGAGGCCTTGTGGAGCTCGGGGCAGTAGCAGACGCGCCTGGGGGGGTGTGTGTGCAGGGAGGAGAGATTTTTAAGAAACCAGCAGGCAGCTCAAGCCAGTTCTTTTCCTCTGCCCTCCTCAGCCCCTTCTGCGCTCACTGAGAGAGCAGGAAACAGGGTGGGGCGGCACTCACTGGCGTTGCGGGCAAAGCGCGATGTGGGTCCCATCGGCCAGGAGCACTCCGGTGGAGCCGTCCGAGAGCAGGTAGCTGAAGCCGTACTTGTTGGAGTAGTCAACCCACTTGGTGACCATCTGGATGGGTCCAGCCCTTGGGGGCCCCTTGGGATCCTCTTCCGCTGCAGAGAGAAGGCAGGAAGGAACCATTCGGTCGGGGGGGGTGGAGGGAGGAGCTCAACTCCCCCCCAAAAAACCCCCTCTTTTAGTTTTTTTCTCCCTCCCTGCATTTTCTAAAATCGGGTCTGTACTTTATAGCCTCCTAGGAGTGTAGCAACCCCCCCCCAAAAAAAACCTGCCAGCCTATTTGCAAAGCTAAGCTGTGGTTTCAAATTGGGTGGGGGGGATGCAAGTTGAGATTCTTCCCTTGCAGGGGGTTTGACTACGTGACCCTCAAGGTACCCTTCTGATGTGTTGTTCAAGGGGAAAATAGTTCTTTCTTGTGCTTATTTTGTTATGTATTCCGTGGTTATTATATTGTAATTTAACATAGCTGACCACCCTGAGATCTGCAGATGAAGGGCAGGATACAAATTTAAATAACAAGAATTCTGCTGCACTACTGCTGCTTCTGATCTGAATCCAATAATGGCAAAGTCGGAAGGGACCCTGAGGGACACCCAGCCCAACCCCCTGCCATGCAGGAATCTTTCGCCCAACGTGGGGCTCGAACCCACAACCCTGAGATTAAGAGTCTCAAGCTCTACCAACCGAGCTCTCCCAGGTCAGAATAATAAGGGGCTCCTTTACTGACACTGGAAGAAATGAAGTCTGAAGATGGGACCCTCAAGCTTCCTTTCCAAGAGGTCCAGTTTCTCACTCCTCCAAGGTGTTGCGCAGACATTTCCAGGCTGCGTGATGACATGAGGGTGACCCCAAAGGTGGCCACTTAAGTCGGGCAGAGACAGTCCCTTCCAGGGACAGGGGGTGGGAGGTCAGAACACAGCCAGTTCCTGGGCCTGGGCATGCAAACGATTAGGGAGCCTCACCCAGGGGGATGGTCTTTAGGCAGGTCCGCAGAACTTCATCCGCTTTGGCCATCGTGCTCCTCTCGGCATCGGCTGGAGGAGAGACAGAGATGGAGTGAGAAGCAGCAGGTGCTGGGGGCAGTGCTGGGGGGGGCAGACTCTCCACCCGCACCTCTGCCCCCCACAGCCTTCCAAACCCTGCAGGTTCCTGGCCCCCCATTTCATGAGCGCTTAGCTCCATTCCTACATGGGACAGCCGAGATGGGAAGCTGCTGCAGCCTTGTCCTGAGCTGGGCTGTGCCTGAATATGAAGGTGTGTCCCAGCCCCACCCCTCTTCTCCTCCCTTCCTGCCCCAAATTCCAAATTGGAGGTTATGGGGTTCAAATGTTGCAGCTCCCTTTCTGGAGGCCTCTTGGAGCCACCCCAGAACAGCACAGAAGGAGGGTGCTGAGTTTGGGGTTGCCTTTGTCACTGACCCCCATAAAGCTCCCCAGGCTACCCCCTTCTTCCCAGCTCACACCTCCCTCTGGCTCCGTGGCCCAATTTTTCTGCATCTTTCAGCTCTGATAACCCCTGGAACCACAGAATGGTAGAACTGGAAGGGGACTCCAGGGATCATCCAGCCCAACCCCCTGCAATGCAGAAACAGAGGACAGCCTCCTGTCATCCTGTCTGTTTGGGTCTCTGGCAAGCGGCCCTCAGGCTGGAAAAAGGAGCTGCTTCACTCCTGCTCTGCCCAATCAGGAGATCCACCAGACTCTCAGCCGCAAGCACCCCAGTTCTTGGCCTCGGTGGTGCCACTCACCCGCCTCCCGGCTGACGTTCAAGGAGCCCCTCATGAGCAAGGCAGACGGGGAAGGTGGCTGTGTCCTCAGGGGCATTCTGGCTGTCCTCTTCCACTTCCTTCCAGAGGACAAGAAGAAAGAAGCAGCCCGTAAAGCCCACAGAACAAGGTGGACTGGGAAGCCCCCCTGCAGCCCCCACTGAGGACATCTGGGAGGGAAGAGGGTGGGCCTCTCCCCTACGAACTTCAGAGATTGTTTGCGCTTGGACATCACTAGGTGCTATTTTGAATCACCAGATTTGTATCTGCGGTGTGCTTGTGTTCATCGCATTCATAGTCTACCTTTCCTCAAGGAATCATAGTAGAGTTGGAAGGGGATCCCCAAGGGCCATCTAGTCCAACCCCCAGCAATGAAGGAATATGGGGAGTTGCACCTGTAGCCTTGGAGTTATCTGCCCCATGCTCCAACCACCGGAGCTATAATTTCATTATGTTCCATTTCTGGTTTTTCAGATCAAATGATTTTCCAGACTATTTATGGATGCTGCCTTTGTCCTGCCCCCCCCCGGGTGGGGCATGTTCTTGCTCACCTTGGCGGCCGTAGCTGCTCTCCCCTTACTGCAGAAGAAACAACAGAGGCTGGGCAGCCTGGTCTTGCCTCCAGCCAGTCATGTAAGTCCAGTGAGATTCTAGCCAGGGACTTCCTGGCTGCTCAGTCTCACAAATCAATCCATCAGTTGATCAGTCTCCTTGATACGGGCAGTTCCCATGCACGCCAAGAAGATCCATTTGGGGGCACCAGATTTTGGCCTCACACAGGGTGCCCTATTACCAAAGACTACCAAAGTCTGACCCTGATTGATTGACACACACACAGCCGTTTCTTACCAGGCTGGGGGTCTCGGCAGGCATCCCAAGTGGCGGCATCCCTTCCGCTTCCTGGGGTGGGGGGCTCACTGGGGGAGAGGAAGAAGAGGGGCCCCATTAGGTTCGCAGCCTTTGGGGGGGCTCACTCCCTGATGGCTCAGCCGTGCAGGGGATAGAGGATGGGGTCATGCCCAGTAATTCCAATTTAAAACCGAAATAGATTTTGCATTTCAATTTGTTTCATATTTGGGGCGCACACGTTCCATGCAACCCTTTTGCATGGCACCTCACTCTCCCCTTACGTGGGACTGAAGGATTAATCGAGGAAAGCAAGGTTGCCTCTGAGCCTGTGGAGAGCGCTGTCCCCTTCTTCATACAGTGTGTCATTAAACTGTGGAACTTGCTGCCACAGGAGGCAGCCATGGCTCTTCTGAGAGAACCTCCAGGTCTAGAGGCAGTCTATCATGATTCCTAGATTTTTAGGAAATTTGGCTACTGTGGGGACAGGACGCTGGACTAGAGGGGCCCCCTTGGGCCTGATCCAGCGGTTCTCCTGTTACATTGCCTCTTACCCAGGGCTCCATTGAAAAACGAGGTTGCCTCTGAGTACGTGGAGAGCACTGTCCCCTCTCTGCTAGACTGTGGAGGATGGTCTCCCATTTGGGGGGGAGTTCCTGGTGGTCTCCTCACCCCACCCCTCGCAAGCGAAGGCTCACCTGTCCGGGTCTCCTGGCACAGGGAGCCACGCAGGAAAACCTTCGCCGCTTTCTGGAAGAACTTCCTCAGTGGGTTGGGAAGCACGAAGAGCGGGGCAGAATGACAGGCGCGGGAATGCAGCTGGGTCGGGGTGAAGCCCTGGCGAGAGAGGAAGAGCAGGATGAGCCCCATCACGCTCCCAAGCCGCGCTTGCAAAACAGGGAAGCCGCAGAATGCGGGAGAACATCCTGGCTGCTCAAGGCGAAAGCAGAGTCGCTTGTGGGTGAGAAATGTCGACCTGGATTGGAAATGGGGCCCTTTCCCTTTTCCCTTCTTTTTCCCTCTCCCTCTTTTCCTTTTCTTCTCTCCACACAGGAAGAAGGCTCAGAGCTCGGAGAGGGGTGGTGGGACGGCAATGAAGGGTCAGAGGGAGAAGACGGGGAGGAGGAGGTGTTGAAAGCTGAAGAAGTAACAGGTCTTAGTGAGCAGGGAGAGTTTGTGGCAGAGAGAAGTCCAGACTCAGAGGCAGGAGCTGAAGTAGGAGAGGAGGGAGGCCAAGAGGCAGAGAGGGGAAGAGCCATGGGGGTCTCCCCCTCCTGCTGCAAGAAGCTCCCCTCCCCGCTGGTCTCCCAGAACCAGGAGAGGGTGGAGGAGAGGTTGGCTTAGTCACTGATTGCTTGGGAAAGACCCTGGAGAGGAGGCAGGGAGCTTCCATCTCAGCAACTGACTTTCATGCAGCGAGACCACCAGGAAGGAGCTGCTCTACTCACTAGGCCAAGTCTGTGCAGATGGTGGTATTGCTAGCAAACAGTTCACTCCAACTTTGAACTGCAGCATGGGGGTAGAGCCTAAGACTCTGCCAGTCAGGGTCTGGGCAGTCTCCTTGGGTGCAAGCTAGTTTCCCACGGCCTCATGAGAACTGGGATCTTAGCTCATGTTCCTCTGCCCAGCCTGCTGGAAGAGATCCCGAGTCAGAGACCCTGCAGAGCCACTGCGTCTGGGAGCTGCTTTGCCCCTGGGCACCCACCTGGGTGAAAAACTCGTGGGCGAGGGTTTCTTCCAGGGTGGGCCGTGCTTCAGGATCGGGGGCCAGCAGCTTCCCAATGAGGCCCCTGGCACTGGGTGAGAGGCGGCTGGGGGTGGGGTAGCGCCCTTCCTGGATGCAGCGGTACATCTCCTGCTTGTGGGTGATCTCAAAGGGGGAGCAGCCCGTGAGGGCCGTGTACCTGGGGGGGGCGGTGAGGAAAAAGAAGCCAAGAAGAGGACCCCATAGATCCTTTATTTCATTTTGTACATAAAACAGAGAATGACAGGCAAAAAAGCAAAAACAGACCTAGAGGCATGTAGGATAACTCAGTTGGTAGAGCAGGAGACTTAATGCCAGGGTCGTGGGTTCGAGCCCCACCATGAGCAAAAGATTTCTGCATTGCAGAGGGTTGGACTAGATGACCCTGGGAGGTCCCTTCCAAGCCTGCAATTCTGCGATTCTATTATTCCTTTCCACCAGAGTTACTTACATGATGCAGCCAAGAGCCCAGACATCCGACTTGAACGAGTGCCCCTTTTTGGCAATGACTTCAGGAGCCAGGTAATTGGGGGTCCCACAGACCACTCTGTGGGGAGAGGGAAGGCCCTTTAGGGAAGGGGGGAAGCAACAGCAACACCGAGGAAGCCAGGCTTCCCTTCTGCATGCAGGACAGGTGCTCTAGAGCTGCAAATCCAGCAAGATGCTAGTCTGCATTGTTCTGAATTAAACAGGAGTAGAGGAATTCTCCTTATACAGAGCCCAGCCATTGCTCCATCTCTCCCAGCGCTGACGGACAGCAATGCCTCTCCAGGGTTTCAGACCCAGCCATCTCTCTCAGTCAGCCCTGCTGTGGACCCTGCCACCTTCTGCATGCCTAGCAGCTGCTCTGCCCCTGGGCTGCAGCCTATGAGGCTTCTACCAGCAAGAAGGTGGGAGATTTGAACCCACAACCAGATGAAAAACTGGATCAGATTTGCTGCAGACTCCTCCTCCTCCGTGGAGGTCTGGGCAGGGCTTGCTCTGGAAAGCTGATGGATCCGGGTGGATATACAGTGGTACCTCGGTTTATGAACTTAATCCATTCCGGAAGTTTGTTCTTAAACCGAAACCGTTCTTAAACTGAGGCACGCTTTCCATAAAGAGGCCTCCCGTGCCGGTGTCCTTCCACCGTCTGGATTCTGTTCTGAGACCGAGGTAAAGTTTGCAAACTGGGACACTACTTCTGGTTTTGCGGAGTTCGTAAACCGAATCATTCGTAAACAGGACTGTTCTTAAACTGAGGTACCGCTGTGTAAGGAAGCTGGCTTTCCTCCCCACCCTGGGAGAAATTAGGGATCCTTCTGTGCCCCATCAGCAACAGAGGCTGCAGAATCACTCAGGAGGAATCCCCATTGGAACAAGAGCTTTCCCTTCCGAGGAAACCTACAAACGTGTCAGACGAGGACTTGGGAGAGGTCAGTGTTCAACTCTTGCCCCTCAGGCAGGAATCTCACTGGGTGAGCTTGGGGACCAGTTGCTGCCCCTCAGTCTGGCCTACCCAGTGGCCATTGTGCGGATCAAGTGCGGAGGGAGGGGGGGAGAAGCAGGCATGGGGTCCCCTGAGGTCCTTGGAGTTAAGAAAGGTGGGATGCAAATGCATCAAAGGAAGGAATAACTAAGTATTGCAACTCCAAGGCTTTAATGTCTGCCTTTACCCCACCAGGAAATCCAAGGCTCCCTTTCTCTGCCCAGCCACCTCATAATACTCACCCTCTCCTCCGGTTGGCCTGCTCCTCACGAGTCGCCAGCCCCAGGTCCCCAATCTTCACTTGCATGGTCTTTGTGATGAAGAAGTTACCTGAGCACATGAAGAGTTCAGAGGTATAGAGAGTCCCATCCTTTCCCACACTAAATGCCGGACAGTTGCTCCCAGAAAAGAGCCAGTGGGGTCCTGGGAGATCCGGGTTCAGATCTCGCCACTCAGCCAGCAGCTTGGCCTGCCTCACAGGGCTCTTGTGAGGACAAACCGGGCCGTGTGCTGTGTGCACTCCTTTCAGGAAAGAAGGAACAGAATGAAGAATAAACTTGGAGGCTGCATTGGGCAACAACTGGGGGGGGGTGTCAGTGGGGGCCCTTTTTTACCTTTGAGGTTTTAGCATGTTTTTGTATCTGCTGGAAGCTGCCCAGAACGGCTGGGGCAACCCAGTCAGATGGGTGGGGTACAAATAATAACAACATGGAGAGCTCTGTTGGTGAGAGCTTGGTGCCGACAATGCCAAGGTTGCAGGTTCGACCCCCGTCAGGGACAGCTGCATATTCCTGCATTGCAGGGGGTTGGGCTAGATGACCCTCAGGGTCCCTTCCAACTCTACTAATCTATAATTCTATGATTGGAAAAGGGAAGTGTGTGTTACAATAAGTTCACTTTTTCAAAGAATGGGTTTCCTTGTGCAAGAATGGCCTGTGACCTCAACTGGTGGGCATGGGACCGAATCCTACCCCAAAATAGTGACAGTCTGGTCTGGAGGCCCTGCAGACCTCTGCAGAAGCAAACCAGGATGGGTGCTGTGGTCTGCCGGGAAAGGTCTTCATCTCCCCTCCCACCTTTCCCTTGTTAAATTTGCAAATAAAAATAAATTTTGCAAAAGCACGACTTCTTGATAAGCAAGCTGTCTGGAAGACTTCGGGCTCTTTGCAAATGCACAATGTCGGCTGGAGGCTCAGGATGTGTGTGAGAGAGATCCTTGCTCTGCCCTTGCAGGCTAAATCAGATCAGCGTTCGCACTCAGAGCCTCCCGCCCCTGGCAATAGTGCCATGAGGTCACCCTGCAGGCATTCGCTCTGCCCCTACCAGAGTCATCCTGGGCTGCTGTGTATATTTTTAACCCCCTCTCCAAAGCCCAGGAGGGTCCCAGGACAGAGAGCGAATTGGGGGCACTGGGTGATTAACTCTTCCTGCGCTGCAGTGCCAATAACAGCATCCCATCCCTTGCCTGGCGGGTCTGAGAGCAAATTGGCTCTTCTGGTGCAGAAACAGGGAGCGGATCTCTCCCAGAGATGAAGGCAGAGAAGGGACCCTTCACACCTTCCATGCATTTCTCAGCTTTCACATTCCAAAAACAAGAGGTGCTAAAAAGTTGCAACATGATTTGAAAGATGTTTTGTTTAAGTGAATATAGTTTAATTTCGCCTGGTAAGCAAAATGTGCATAAAAATGCATAGAAATAATTAAAAATGACTGCCAAGTACTTGCAGTTATATTATAGATTATTATAGATTGTTGTTGTTATTGATTACCTAACATTTTCAGAAGGCAAAATTAAAATTCTTTGGTTTTCCAAAAGCCATTTAGGTGCATTTTCATCAAACATAAACTTGCCAAGCTAAATGTTGTCCTATCACAGCAGAATTCCTCAGGCCCCAAAGCATATTTCTAAGACCCATCACTGAAGAAATTTGCAAAAATTAAGTTTCGTCCTCTAAAATGACACACCGTCATGAACCTTAAAAATCTATAGATAGTGCACTGGTGGGGGGGCGGTGGTTGTTGCTCTGAGCCATTGGGGTGGAGCTGATGTCTGGTAGTGGTGTGGAGCATGGGCTATGAGGCTGGTGGTACCCCATCAGAGGTACGACTCCTCCCCTAGCACCCCATACAGGTCTCACGGGTGCGACCGCAGCACACCCAGCATGGGTCCATTGGAGGCCCCCTCCCCCAGCCGCCAGACACCTACTCAGCTTGAGGTCCCGGTGAATGATGCCTTGCTGGTGGAGGTACTGCAGGCCAGCAATGACTTGCTTGAGGTAGAAGCGGACCTCAGGCTCCGTCAGCGTCTTGCGGGCTTTCAGGATATGGGCCAGGGACTGGAGAGAGAGAACATCAGGGTTTTAGCAGCCTCACTCCAAATCCCAGGGTCCCAAAGGGTGCCACTCCCCACAGGTCATGGTGGCTGAATTGCACCCCCCCCCAAAAAAAAGAAATCTTATGGGGACAGCTGCATCTGTTGAATTGCCTGCCCTTTTGTGCAATGCTTGTGCAATGTGAAAGAGCGTGGCCTGAGATGGCAGAAAAGGATGGGGCCCCTGGTGAAATTCCTTACTCAAGGGGCAGAAGCTCTGTTTGGTTTTGCGCCGGGGAAAGCATGGGGTGGGCAGCCAGGGACAATACTGGTGCCAGACTCTCCCCATTCTGTTGAGGAGGGAGTGGCTTTAGCCAGGCCAGCAAAGAACTGTAGAAGTGTAAAGTTGGAAGGAACTCCAAAGGTCATCTAGTCCAACCTGCTGCAAGGCAGCAATGCAACTGCAAGCCTCTTCTAGGAGATGGCAGACGGGTCAGAACAGCAAAGAAAGCTTCAGGGTGCCAACTTCTTAGCACCTTCTGAGCAAATAATAATTAATAATAATAATAATTTTATTATTTATACCGCGCCCATCTGGCTGGGTTTCCCCAGCCACTCTGGGCAGCTTCCAGCAGAATATGAAAACATTATAAAACATCAAACATTAAAAACATCCTGATACAGGGCTGCCTTCAGATGTCTTCTAACAACTGAGTAGTTATTTATCTCCCTGACATCTGGTGGGAGGGCGCCACCACCAAGAAGGCCCTCAGAGCTGGACCTCAGAGCAAGGGGTGGTGTTGTGGAGAAGCTCCAATGGCCAACTTCAGCAGACTGGGCATTTGTCAGAAGCACAGGAGTAAACTGAGTCACTTTTCCCCAGGGATTCTTGAACTCCAATTCCTGCATTGCAACCCTGCAATTCTCTGGACAACTTTCTGTATTCCATTGCAGGCGGAAGGAAGGAAACCCTTTGAGGGCCCAGCCTGTCAGCTCCCTCTCTGCTCTCTTTTTCTCACCTTCCGACTGCAGTACTCCAGGACCATGTAGATGTTCTCCTGGTCAGCAAAATGCCGGTGGAAGCCGACAACATTCCTGTGCTTGAGCTGGCTGTGCAGCTCGATCTCGCGCTCGACCTGCAGGGGGTGGGGGGAGAAAGCCACGAGGTTCCTGCTGAAGCGCCAGCAGAGACACCCACCCACCCACCCACCTTGCGCCAGCAGAGAGGAGAGGAGCCACGGGTGCAGGTGCTGGAGTCAGCGAGAAACTCAGCAATATCTACAGTATATATATTTACAACATCCAAGGACAAAGGAGAGCAAAGCGAATGGAGAATCTGCAATGAGAAAGGAAGGCGCCGGCCTCTGCCTCTGCTAGAGACCGTTGCCCTTTCCCCCCCCCCCATTTTGGCAGTCTCCCCACTTTCCAGAACCTTAGACTGGAAGCTCTTTGGGGCAGAATCCCTTTGGCTGCATGGCGCCTGCCGGCCTCTTAGCTCACATCCTATGCGACTGGGTGCTTTTTGCAATATTCCCTGCCCCAAGGAGCTTCTGGTCCCAGGATGGCAAGGGTGTAGTGTGGGGACTGGGGGGTCGTGGCCCTGGGCACACAGTTTTGAGGGGTGCAAAACAGGTGCTGGCTCCCAAGGGAATCCCCATCCTTCCCTGCCTGCCAAAGTGTCCGGAGCCCAGCCTGGGCCAGCCCTCACGTCCCCGGGCCCCTTGCCGAAGGGCCACCTGGCCAGCACTCTCTCTTGGATGGTGAGGACAGAGGGAGGCAGACAAGGGGCAGCCTCGGCATGGCCTGGTGCAGCACTCCTCTCTGCGGGCATTGGGGGAATTTGCCCGCCATGGGCCACGTCAGCTGGCTGGACTCCCCCCTGCACAGGTGGGCAGTGCCCCGGACACCAGCAATGCACGCTAAGCCACTGGCTGGGTAAAATGTCATGAGGAAGTGGAGGCAGGGAGCCGCGCTGAGATCAGGAGGGGCAGGGTCATGGCAGGGTCACACATCCATCACAGATCAGATCCCCCAGATGCATTTGCTTCACAGATGATAATAATAATTAATAATAATTTAATTACTTATACCCCACCCATCTGGCTAGGTTTTCTCAGATTTGAGAAAAGCCCTGCAGCAGGCGGATCAGGCCCATTGCAGCTAGCATCCTGCCCTCACAGGAGCCAACCAGACACCCCAAAGGGAAACTCACTAGCAGGACCTGAGAGCAGCAGCCTTCTCCCACTCCAGCGTTCTAAGATAGGCTGGCTTGTCCATGGAGGCTCCATTGAGGAATCATAAGAAACTAAAAAGAGCTCAACTGCTGGATCAGACTCAAAGGGGGCCCATCGATTCCAGTCTTCTCTTCTCATAGTGACCAAATACCCCTAAGAACCAAGCAATCGAGATAGACTGCCTCTGGACCTGGAGGTTCCATCAGAATGTAAGAAGAGCTGGCTGGATCAGGTCAATGGCCCATTTTGCCCAGCATCCTGTCCTCAGAGTGGCCAACCATTATGAGAAACCTACAAACAGAATCCGAGCACAAGAGCAACTCTCCCCTCCAGCAGTTTCCAACAACTGGGATTCGGAAGCCTCTGACTGTCAGGACAGAGCATAGCCATTATGGCTGGTAGCCATCCAAAGCTACCGCCGCCTCCTTGAATTTGTCCAGTCCTCATTTCAAATCCATCCAAGCTGGTGGCCGTCAGTGTCTCCTGTGGGAGGGAGTTCCACAGTTTAACTCTGTGCTGCCTTCTTTAATCTACTGGAATTTCAGCTTTGCCCATGAATTCCAGTGTCAGGAGAGGAAGAAAAGCTTCCTTTTGCCCACTTTCTTCTACTTTGCATGATTTTAAGCCTTGTTTAAATGCTCAAGTGCAGAGGAACGCCACCCTTTGGGTGGGAATAAAGGGGTCAGGAAAAGAAAAGTCTGTGTCCCCCAATATTGAGAAAGGAAAGGAAGGGCCTTCCTTAAATCATTTTTATCCTAAAGGTAAAGGGACCCCTGACCATTAGGTCCAGTCGTGACCGACTCTGGGGTTGCGGTGCTCATCTCGCTTTACTGGCCGAGGGAGTACAGCTTCTGGGTCGTGTGGCCAGCAGGACTAAGCTGCTTCTGGCGAACCGGAGCAGCGCACGGAAACGCTGTTTACCTTCCCACTGGAGCGGTACCTTTTTATCTACTTGCACGTTGACGTGCTTTCGAACTGCTAGGTTGGCAGGAGCAGGGACCGAGCAACAGGAGCTCAGCCCGTCGCGGGAATTCAAACCGCTGGCCTTCGATCAGCAAGTCCTAGGCCACAGCGCCACCCGCATCCCATTTTTATCCTACTCTCCAGCTAAAAAAAAAGATGCTTGCAATTGAGAAGACACAGCATGAAAGGAAAAATGGTGGGGAGGGAGGAGGGCAAATTTAAAAAAAGGGAGGTGGGGTTCTTAATGGCATTGGAGAGGGTAGAAGGGTCTTCCTCCCACAGGGGCACCCAGCTAAAGTGGCACCAACTACATCATCATCAACCTTTTATTCGACCGTCAGTCAGAAAAAAGTACATTTGTCAATACACAGTTAAAACATCCAAGAAGATTTTAGAACTTAGCCAACACTAAAAAGGGCTAAACAGATAGCCCCATATCAATACAGTCAATTATAGTCTTGCGACGCTTAAAAGCTAAAAAAAGAAATTTGGCCACCAAGGAAGGTGTAGCTCTAGTGACGTTATTCAGCAAGTGTAAAACCTGGTTTTCTCGGGATAGGAAGCTAAATTTACATAGGAGTGGGTCTATAAAATTTTGTCTAAGCTCTGCATAAGAAGGGCAAGCCAAGAGAATGTGTTCGGTGGACTCAACCGCACCCATGGCACAATGACAGGTTCTCTGGGCGTATGGTACTCCCCTGTACCTTCCCCACAATATTGCCGAGTCAAGGACATTTAATCTAGCCGCTGTAAGAAGTCTGCGGTATTCCACATAGTGGATTTCTGCAAGGTAGGGGGCTGGTATGGTCCGATAAATCTGGTCCCCTAGGAACATCCCTGGTTTTACCTGGGCTATGTCCTCTTGTCTGGCAATGTCACTCAGTCTCCGGGAGATCACAGCTCTAGCTTGATTGTACGTCATAGACTCAAAGTAAAGGTGAGACAATCCGCAGGATTGAACCTCGTTAATGACCTCCCTTTCCCACGATGATTGGAAATCGTCCCTCAATATCAAGGGGGCAATGCCCACTGGTTTAAAACAAAGCTTGAGCCATAGCCAGAGCTTCGTCTTCAAGGCCACATACCGTAGAGCTTGCCAGCCGACCTCTAATCTCATAACCGCACCCGCTACCGAGGGGGGAATCCTAAGGATGGCTCTAAGGAATTGCGTTTGGATAGAATCCAGTTTCAAAAAATCCCTGCGGGAGCCTAAAGAGATGCCCACCAAAAGAAGGGGGAGGACTTTCATTTGAAAGAGTCTCAAAGCTATCTTCACTGATTGAGCCTGATTCTTAGCATATAGAGATCGAATCTGGATGGCTGCTTTAGATGCATTAGTTGTGATATAGTCTCTATGGGCCAGAAAAGTCCTATTTGACCGTATTACTTGTCCCAGATATTTAAAGCAGTTAACCTGCTCTAGGGGGATCCCGTTCATCGACCATCGATGGAGTCTCGGTCGGGCAGAGAAGACCATGATCTTGGTCTTAGCATAGTTGGGTTGGAGCTCATGCTGATCACAGTATTCATGTAGAGTTTGCAACATTCTCCTCAGTCCAATAGGGGATCTGGCAAGAAGTGCGGCGTCATCCGCATACAGAAGAACATTCAGAGATCGGCCTGCTAATTTGGGGGGGTGGAAAGCATCATTGGCCATGTGAGTCACCAGTGAGTTAATGTAAAAGCTAAACAATGCTGGGGCCAATAGACAACCCTGTCTTACCCCTCTAGTGGTGGTAACAGGGTTGGAGACTAGGCCTTTATTGTCTAGCCTGATTCTCAGAAAGGTGTTTGTATGGAGGCTAATAATCAGATGAAGGAGACGACGATCGATCTTTGTAGCAGCCAGTTTTGTCCATAGCTGCTTTCTAGAGATTCGATCAAATGCCTGCTTAAGGTCAATAAAAGCCACATGAAGAACCTTTGGGGCTTTGCCGGCATACTTTTCCGCCAGGTGATTCAAGGCACCAACTACAATAATCATTTGCAGGGGCTCCCCCACCCCAGGATCATATCTGGGCTCACCTTCCCTCGGTTGTCCAGCCTGGAGACCCGGGACTGAGGCACGACCTTCACGGCATAGACCTTGTTGGTGGAGGTGTCTGTGAACTTGTAGCATCTCCCAAAGGCGCCCTGAGGGGAAAGAGAGAAGGAGGAGGGTGGCGGGTGGGGGTCAGCCAGGAACCGGGGCAGGGGAGCGTGTGTCCCCGAAAACACACACACACACAGGCTTGATTAGTTGCAAATCCTGTATTGCAGGGGGTTGGACTAGATGACCCTCGGGATCCCTCCTAACTCTACAATTCTATGATTCATTTCCTGGCTCCAAAGCCAGGTTTGTGCTGCCGCTTCCCTCTGGTCACAGGCTTGTCCTGCTGCCTCAGATGGATGGCCTCTGAGGTCCCAAAATTCTGAGGCCATCAATTCAGACCCATAGTTTGAGGTCCAGCTCCGAGGGCCTTCTGGTGGTTCCTTCCCTGCAAGAAGTGAGGTTACAGGGAACCAGGTTGAAGGCCTTTTTGGTGGTGGTGCCTGCCCTGACAGGTGTCAAGGAAATAAAGAACTGTCTGACTTTTGGAAGACATTTGAAGGTTTAGGGAAGTTTTTAATGTTAAATGTTTTATCGTGTTTTTAATATTCTGTTGGGAGCCACCCAGAGTGGCTGGGGAGGCCTGGCCAGATGGACGGGTATAAGTAATAAATTTTTATTATTATTATTATTATTATTATTATTATTATTATTATTATTTCCAACCCCCTTCCCCACAAGGCAGGAATATCAACTCAAGCATCCAGGCCACCCAGCCTCTGCTTAAAAACCTTCCAGGAAGGAGAGCCCTTCACCTTCTTCGCTCCATCTTCCATGAGGCAGAGATCTCCTCTCAGCCTCCTCTTCTCCAGGCTAAACATCCCCACCTCCCGTGGAACAAGCGCGCCAGAGGCATGGCCTGCAGGAGGAGACCCAGGTTCAAGCCCCGCTGGCGTCTCCGGGTAAGGATTCGCCCCGATCAAGGAGCATCTTCTGCTCAAAAACCAAAGCAGACTGCTTCTCCCGCTCCCCATTGGCTGGCGCCTCGAGTGGGCGGGGCATGCCCGACCCCATCCGGGAGAAAGCGGAGCAGACCCAGAGTGAGAAAGGGGCGGGTGGGAAATCCCCCGATCCGGATGTCTCTGGGCTCAGACGCGCAGGACTCCTGAGTCCTGGGGGCGTGGGTGGGTGTTGTGACTTGTTGGGGGCAGAGCGGCAGTCCCGGCTCCCCAAATGCAAAACATCGACCCACTCCGGATTAAGCACGTGTAGCCACTGCACTTCTCATCATGCATTTGCAAAACAAAGCTGGATGATGAAGGATTCTGTGAGACTCCGAAGCTTGCCGGGTGCTTGGGGAGAAAAACCGATCTGATCCTGACAGCAGAATTGCCTTGCTGTGGATTTGGAGGGGCATAGTTGCCTTTTGCGCCTTTGAACCCCGTCCCGCAGTTTCCCAAATAGCCCGTCCCGGGCTCGGAGCTCCGGAAAAACCGAGCGCCGCCTCGTCGCGGCTCTACCCAGAACTCCGGGCGCTGCAAAGACAAACGCGCAATGTCTCATATGTTGCAAAAGGGGCAAACTCCGTTAGAAAAAATGGTTCCTGAACTCCTTCGGCGTGGGGAAGAAGGAAGACGCAGGAACCCAAAATGTGAACATAAGACAACGCACAGTTTAAGAAAAACTAGGTTTTGCAGATTTAGATGCGTGAATTCAAAATGCGCACGCGCGCGCGCGTGTGTGAGAAGTGTGAAATGGACCCCATGTTTCGTTCCAGGGGCTTCAGAGGAAAGAAAACAGATAAGATCAGATCAGATCTAGGACCCGGACGCCTGGGTCCTGTGCTCAAACCTGGGAGGAAAAGGAGGCGCCTGATTCTCCACAAGAGTTCTTCCTGCGTGACCTTGGTTCACCTCTTCACCTGGTGACTCAGTTTCCCCCAACGGGGAGCCGTCATTCTTGCAAATCCCCCCCAAAGAGAGTAAACTTCCTTGCTGCCGCCACCCCACACCGCTTTGAAAGTGGGGGTCTCTGTCTGCGCCTGTTCCAACAGGCCCATTTCCACCCGACGCATCCCTGTGTATGAGCTAAGAGGGCAGAAAATCCCGCAAACGTCATCTAAAAATGCCAAAAAATTAGAGTTGCAATTCTTAACCGAGGTTGCAAAATCCCTAAGCCAAGCGAAAAGGAAAGGAAATTGCAAAATAACCACAGAATTATTTACCTTCCCCAAAAGCTGCCCTCTCTTGTAAAGCGTCCCCGTGCTCGGATCCTCTATGAAGTATTTGAGGCTCTCGCCTTCTGCCCTCCTCCAGGCGGGGTGCTCCATCCGCCCCATCGAGTGCCCCCCACCCCCCTCCCACCCTCTTTTTTGCAAACTCCTCCGGCTGCTCCTTAGAGTCTCTGGCCAGGAGGTAGCCGATGCCAGGTCCTCTTATAAGGCGGGGTTGGGGGTGGAGAGAAAGGGGGGCCGGCCAGGGGGCCCTCTGCTGCCCAGGCAGCCTCCTCTGCCCATTGGAGGGCCGGGGATCCGCGATCCGGAGCAGAAGCGGCGCAGCACCCGGACGAGACGCCGGCCGGGAGGAGGGCGGAGAAATGCCGAAGCGCAAACTGGAGCGAAAGGAATCGGTTTAAAGAGCTGCGCTTGGTTCTTCGGCGGACTTCCAGCATCCGGATTAGGTCCAAGGGGTGTGGGCGCACCTGCTCCAGCACCCTGAAAGTCCACGGACAGGCGAGGTCCAGGTAGGTGCCCCCCACCCGTGGGCAGTGGAACCCCAAAGTCTCCCAGGCGAAGTCCCAGCCAGGTGTCGGTTCCGCCAGGTCGGAGTTGAAGGGTTTGTCTGCCTAGAGGTGGGCGGGGGTTTCGCCTTCTGGGCTGGGTGGGACTTCTCCCCCCATAACCTGTCGGGGGTCGGGTGGTGGGTGGGGTGCTGATGGACCCACATGGTGCCTGTGGCTGATGCGGCACCTGCGCCCCCTCCTGGACAGAGGTATTAGTCATTCCTTCGTTAACCCTTTATTGATTGGAGGCCGTCAGAGAGATGCTTCTACGATAAATAATTCTACAAAAGGATAGTAAACGAACACGTAATTTAGGAGGACGGTATTTCTGTTTTGGGAGCTGTGCAGGTCCTTGTTTGAAACGTACGATTTTAAAAGTCCCACCCAATTGCATAAAATGGTTCTCCTGAGTCTTTCATCATGCAAATCTTGTGGGTTAACCTTTCCCCATTTGCAAAGGTCTCTGACGTTCTTTTTACCTGGTGAGATTTATTTTATTGAGATTTTCCCATAATACAATAAAGCTGTGATTACCAAAGATACCAAGGTTCCTTAATCTTATACCACAAATCCAGAGGCAGATCGTTTGCGTTCATCCATTTCTGTGCAATTTATTGCCTTCTAAGCCACTGTCACAAGACAATTTACACATAAGACAATTAAAAACTGCTAAGAACGCAAAAACAATCCATCTGTCATGTATGCATTAGCTGAGATTCCTGCATTTCAGGGCGTTGGACTAGATGACCCTTGGGGGTCCCTTCCAACTCTGCAATTCTATTATTCTATTTAAAACTAGGCATTAAAGTGGACAATCATGGCCAAGAAGACCTATTTACATAGAGAGCATAACCAGAGTTGTGGACCGTTTATTTCTTTGGTTATGAATTTTCTCTGCTTCGTATTCAAAAGACTCCCAATAGAAATCAGAGACAATAGACAAAGTTTCAAAGTTTTACATGAAGCAGAGAAGACAGTCCAGTATCCTGCAAAAGAATATCGAAAGCACCCGCTGCTTTGCTGGGATCATAGAATGAAAGAAGTGTAGTGATTCCCCTGCAGAAATCTTTTGCCCCATGAGGGACTCGCACCATACGGGCTGAGCTATCCATCGGGAATCTCCCAGAGATCTGTGGATAATGGGTGGATGACTGAGCTATCCCAGGCATGTTGGGGAGCAGTCCGTGCCCCACACAAGATGTCAGCCAACGAGGGGCAGAGCCTTCTCTGTGCCACTAGACATGGCAATACGGACCCCCAAGTACGCAAAGAGGTGAGTGGCTGAAAAACAGTGAATGAGAGAAGCACATAGAAAGAGCTGCATCTGCAGTGAAAACATCAGAATGGGACCAGAGCAGAGCAGTGAACATCAATGTTGCTGCAGGAATGCTTAGAAACCTTTTTAAGCAGAGCTTGGGTGGCCACCTGTCATGGATGCTTTAGCTGAGATTCCTGCCTTGCCGGGGGTTGGACTAGAGGACCCTCGGGTGCCGCTTCCAACTGTATGGTTCTATGATTCTATGAATACAGTGGTACCTCGGTTTACAGACACTTCAAGTTACAGACACTTCAGGTTACAGACTTTGGTAATCCAGAAATAGTACCTCGGGTTAAGAACTTTGCTTCAGGATGAGAACAGAAATTGCACGACGGTGGCAGCAGGAGACCCCATTAGCTAAAGAGGTACCTTTGGTTAAGTAGAGTTTCAGATTAAGAACGGACCTCCAGAACGAATGAAGTTCATAACCCGAGGTCCCACCCTAACCACCGAGTCCAGGTGCTTAGTGTGCGAGTGGCGTGGAACCCCTGCTTGGCATGCAGAAGGGGCTGCCAGCAGGCTCTGCGGAGCCATAGTCTGACTTGCATCAGGCACCTGCCTTGGGTGTCTCCTTGAGGACTCATCTTGATTTGTTTGTGAGGATGTTGCACTGAGTAATTGTTATCCCACACTTCCCAGGAGATCTTTCCTTCATTTCCCTTTCCCTGTGACAGTTTGGGTGCATCCCCCTGCCCGGAAGTGGGAACCCCCGTTAAGTGTGTGATTGGAAAAGCCCTCCTCCTCCTCAAATCCAATGACCATGATGGGAGGCCGGTATAGCCTGTGTGCCCCTAGGGGGCGCCCCAGCACCAGAGATGGGAGACAGTGGAAAGGGACCCACCCTCTCTGTTGTTGCTGCGACACTTGCAGGCTGTGTACGCACCATACATTCCCTCTCCACCCCCCCAACAAAAAATGCTGGGAACTGTAGTTTGCCCCTTCACAGAGCTACAGCTCCCAGCACCCTCAGTTCCCAGCATTCACTCAGGAAAGGTTGAATGTGCTTTAAAGGCATCCCTGTGTGTCTGGGGCAACCTAGTCAGATGGCAGGACACAAAATATATTTTATTTCATTATGTGATAGGAATTTTATGGTCTTAGATATATGGTAATGTGTACCAACGAAGCACATACATAGATCAGCACAGGAAGGCCAACCTGGAACCATTTTGATTCCTAAACTGAGCAAATGTTTTCTCTGCAAGGTCAAACTGGAAAAGCCTCCCCATTGTCTTTTCCTTCACAAATCCTGTCTTAAGGGTATGTCTGTGTTTGAATAGGGTGTGAGCCTGTGACCTGGCCCCCCCCCAACTAAGTATTTATCACTACAAAAGACTGGCCAGGCTCCCCAGGCAATCCAATCAAGTAACCTGCCAGACAGGAGATAAACAACAACAGGAGAAAAACAATATTAAAATTTCGATTTTGGACCGCCTTTTCTGTGATGTAGGTGTGATGTATCTGAGGGGTGGTCTTAGGTTACACCCCTTCTGTGATGTATGTATTATGTTTCTGGGGGTGGTCTTGATCTACAGGGTGGCAATTTCAAAAGTCTTTATAAGGCCTTGCACACCATTTTTCTGGGTCCCTCCTCTCTCCTGCAAGTGAGGGGAGCACCCTGTTGCAACAGGTCAATAAAGGCCAAGCCTACAGGCTGCTGTTTTGCTCCAAGTTATCCTGGTTGGTGTCTTTGTTTTTGTCCAAGGGAGCCCTTGGATTTTTCCGATAACAGTTACCACCGTCACCAAGTGCAGTCACCTAGAGCATGGTGCTGACAATGCCAAGGTTGCAGTTCCGATCTCCCTACTGCCTAAATCCCTGCACTGCAGGGGCTGAACTGGATGATCCTCAGGGTCCCTTCCGACTCTACAATTCTATGCTTCTATTATCACCATCCCCAGACAACCAGATTCCATCTGATTTGCCTGTAGGAAGTTTATGGGGAGGTGAAACGGAGATCTCTATTGCACCTTCTTTCTGATTTGTCTGTGGGGAAGTTACACAGGACTGAGTTGAGCCAGTTTCTCTTGCTGTTTCCAGGGCATTTCCCCAAAACTCTGTAAAAAGCTCAACCTGGGGGGTGGGGGAGGCAGGGAAATGTGGTTTGGTTGCAGCAGGAAGGAAAAACTTCTTTTTAATTGCACATTCTGAATGAGCAGGTATGTTGTTGCAATCCCACCTGAAAAATACTGACAGTCTGGAAAAAGTGGTCCCAAATTGTTATTGTGCATTTGGCAGGCTGAGGGGGGGGGGTTTGGGGGGCTGTTGATCTTTTCAACAACATCTTGGAAAGGAGAAATGGGAGCCACCTTCAAATATCTGAAGGGCTGTCCTGTGGAAGATGCAGCAAGCTGGTTTTCTGCTGCTCTGGAAGAAAAGATGTGAGCCAACAGATTTAAATGCTGCTAGCAGCCATTTGCCAGAGGAATGGAC